CCGCCGCAGCAGCCGCAGCCCCGCTCCCAGCCCCAGCCCGGCCATGTCGCCGCTGTCGCTGTCGCTGTCGCCTCTGTCGCGATAAACCCGGGGGTGTCCCCGAGCCCCCCCCACTCCCCTCACACAAGGTCACGGCCGTGGGCGTGGCCTCGGCGCGCGGGGCACGCTGGGAAACGTAGTGAACCCGCCTATTTCCATATGCTAATGAGGCGAGGGTATAAAAGGCGCCGTGCCGTTGCCATGGTGACGGCTGGTGTGGGCGTGGCCTGCGGGGCGGGGTTTAAAGGCTCGGGCGCGGTACCGAAGGGGCTTAAATTGAGGTAAATTATATATATATTTTTTAGCGTTTTATTTTAGAAACTCCTAAATTAATATTTCTAGGAATTAAAATTAAAGCGAATCCTAGTTTTTTTGTTGTTTGGTTATTTTTTTTTTTCGCTGGTTTTGGGGTTTATTTTTACCGGATATCCCCTCCCCAAACTAATGGGTGATTTTTTAAGGATTTGAATTTATAGACAAGTCTGGTGTTTTCACCGTTTGTAACACTTAATTTAAGGCGAAACACTCCAAAATTAACAAATTAGGTTAGAAATGTAAATCTGAAAAGAAACCTGGGGTTTTTTAGCTTTTTCAGAGTTTAGTCTTAGAAATAATAATAATAAAAAAACCTAATGGGTGATTTTTAGAATCTTCAGTTTAAATAAAACCACAGGTTTATTAAAATGACTCCACCCTTTTCCCCTCATGTTTTCGCCATCTTTAACCCTGTCACATTTCTCTTAACTTTTCTCCTCACTTTCCCCACCATTCCCCCCACATTTCACAATTTTTCCTGCACTTTTTCTCCTCACATTTCAGGCACTTTTCCCTATAATGGTTCCCATCATTTTTCCCCTCATGTTTCCTGCTCTTTTCCCCTCACATTTCCTGCTTTTTTCTCCCTCAAATTTCCTCTTATCCCTCACATTTCTCACTCTTTTCCCCCTCACGTTTCCTGTTATTTCTCACGTTTTCCACACTTTTTTCTCTTAAATTTTTCCCCTCATATTTCTCACCTTTTATCCTTTGCGTTTCTCATCCTCTCTCCCAGTTTCCTGCCCTTTTCCACTCACATTTCCTGCTTTTTTCTCCCTCACGTTTTCTCTTATCCCTCACATTTCCCACCCTTTTCCCCTCACATTTCTCACTCTTTTCCCCCTCACGTTTCCTTTTATTTCTCATGTTTTCCACTCTTTTTCCTCTTAAATTTTCCCCTCATATTTCTCACCTTTTATCCTTCACATTTCCCGCCCTTTTCCCCCCTCACATTTCCCATCCTTTTCCCCCTCACATTTCTCACTCTTTTCCCCCTCATGTTTCCTTTTATCTCTCACGATTTCCACCCTTTTTTCTCTTAAATTTCCCCCTCGTATTTCTCACCTTTTATCCTTTACATCTCCATTTCCCCCTCACGTTTCCCACCCTTTTTCCCCCCTCACATTTCCTGCCCTTTCCCCCCTCACATTTCCTACCTGTAATCTCTCATATTTTCCACCCTTTTTCCTCTCACGTCCCCCTCATATTTTTCACCTTTTATCCTTCACATCTCCACTCTTTTCACCTCACATTTCCCACAATTTCCCCCCATTTCCCCCTCATATTTCTCACCTTTTATCCTTCACATCTCCACTCTTTTCCCCTCACGTTTCCTGCCCTTTTCCCCCTCACATTTCCCACAATTTCCCCCTCACATTTCCCACCATTTCCCCCCTCACATTTCTCACCTTTTACCCTTCACGTCTCCACTCTTTCCCCTCACATTTCTCACCTTTTATCCTCCACATCTCCACTCTTCCCCCTCACGTTTCCTGCCCTTTTTCCCCCCTCCCATTTCCCACAATTTCCCCCTCACATTTTCCATTTTCCATTTTCCCCTCACATTTCCTGCCCTTTTCCCCCCCTCCCATTTCCCACAATTTCCCCCTCACATTTTCCATTTTCCCCTCACGTTTCCTGCCCTTTTTCCCCCCTCCCATTTCCCACAATTTCCCCCTCACATTTTCCATTTTCCCCT